TATGATTATATGGATCCAGGTTACAATTCAAAATTTAAATATTATATTTCTTCTTTATTATCAATTTTTATAAAGCACATATGTATAATTAATAAATATTCTTTTTGATTATATGATTATATGGATCCAGGTTACAATTCAAAATTTAAATATTATATTTCTTCTTTATTATCAATTTTTATAAAGCATATACTGTATGTATAATTAATAATTTAATTAATAGCTAACAATTGTTTACTTTTTTTTTTTTTCTTACTCAAGTTTTTAAAGATCATATATGTTAACTTTTATTTTTTAATAGATTAGAATTAATTTATTTTATAAAGATTTTTAATATATTGGTGACAAACAAAAGTTTAATAAAAATCTTGTATTTAATACTTATCAAAAATAAAATAAAATATTTAATATTTATCAAAAATAAAATCTTATATTTAATACTTATCAAAATAAAAATATATATTTAATATTTATCAAAAATAAAATAATATATTTAATACTTATCAAAAATAAAATCAAATCAAATCAAATTATTTAATATTTATTTGCAAAAAAAAAAAGAATAGTTAAAAATAATCATATTATATTATATTATTGTTTTTTAAATCAAGCAAATTAATAAATATATTAATATGGTTAACTTTTAATAAACAGATAATTATACAGTAATAGTAATGTTATTATAAATAATATAATTTCAATTTTTGTAATGAAATTGCTATTATTGTATAACTATTTATTTATCAAGAATTGATTATATACAGTTTAATTATAAATAAGTAAATAAAACAAATAAATATTATATTTTTATATTTAATCATATAATGTATTTATATTATACTTGAAAAATAAAAATCATATAAAACCTGTTTTACAATATATCAATATTAAAAAAAAAGAAAAAAAATTTTTTTTTAATTATTAATTGTTAATTATAGATGAACAACTTTTTATCTTTATAAGAACTTAGTATTATAAAATAGATGAACTGAATTGAATAGGTTGATACATGCAATCTTTATTTATAATACAACTTGATTTAGTAAAAATAAAATAAAAAGTACTGTATTAGTTGTCAATTACTAATTTATATAATAAAATCATATTATTTATTAAAAGAATGGAACTCTCCCCCCCAAAAAAAAAAGTTTGTAGTAAATCGTATACTGTATATAAACTAACAAAATGTTATTAATGAGTAGATTGTAGCATGCTAACATTACAAATCGTATATTGCATTATTAAGTTAATCATTGATATAGATAATTACGTAATTATAACTATTATCGGCTTGGATTCTAAGTTCTATTGATAAAAACGAGTTAACAGAATTAATGGTATTAGTTTTCGTAATTGTCAATCAATTACATCAGTTTTATAATATTATGTGAATTACAAAGTACGAAGATCGTGTTTTTTTTCGAATCTCGAGTTTTATATTAAAAAACCCACGGGCATTATGTATATTTCTTTATCGTAATTGTACATATTAGGAGGTTTTGTTCTGTTATCTTAAACCATCGTTTATTACATAATTATGTTATTACATAATAAATTCGCACAAGATTATTTGTTATTAATATATAATAAATAAATAAATTCAATCAACGGAAACCTCCCCCCCCAAAAAAAAAACCATTTCAATGACGGTTTGAAAAAGCAACCAAGTGTTTAAAGTATTTTTGCATTGGTATATTTAATTATACTTAATTTGGCTTTATTCTGAGGGGTTCTTTGCTTATACCAGTTTGGCACAGAATCGATGGTCTCGGTAGATCACTTATTAATCACACCGGTTTACATTTAATAACGCCCCGCGATGTTTTGCGCTTTTACATCGCTTCACATATCTTTTTTTTTTTTTATTTTAAATCAGAGTTTTTTTTCTACATTCATTTACAGTTTCTTAATTTTTTTTTTTCTCGAGGAAAATTTAATGCGATTTTTTTTGGTTATCTACCAAATTTTTTTTTTTTTTTGAGGGGAAAGGTTATGTAAATATTTACAAGAAAGATGTACGGGTAATAAAATATGAAAGTTTTGGGAAATACAGAACGTCACTTTTCTTTTTTAACAAATTATAACGTTCGAATGTTTTTTTGTATAATACGAAATGTGTGTAAAGAAAAAAGGAAAAGTTAAATCAAATATAAATATCGAGTTGAATTTTGACGAAAAAAAGATGATCGTTCACCACCCATCCGTGATTGATTAAAAAGTCAGTGCCACAACCAATGTACAAATTACGACCACTGAAAATATCGAAAGTTTAGTACGATGCAAAAGGGGAAAGTAAAAGTAGGAAGAAAAAAATAAAATGAAAAACCATTGTTCGTGCATGTTAAAAGTTATGTGTATGCAAGGTGATTGTCGATCAAAGAGATTTCACGTATTTCGAATTTTTCTTTTTGAAATCTCCTAACCAATGAAAAAAAGATTACGCGTGTTCGTTAGATTTATAGAAATCTAGAAAATTTAGTAGAAGTATGGTTAACTTTCGAGGTCAACGCCATAGGTAAAGGAAAATATATACATCCAGCGAGAACTTAATATTAACCATTAATGTCTAAATACTCTGCAAATCAACCGTCCGGAAACCACCTCGAAGTGACTTCGTTCGGAATGTATTTGCAACTTTCTTGGTCCCATCTTTCGAAGTAACAGCCAACCAATTCCGTAGTGACGGGACCAAGAGCCTTGGCCAATTCCCAATCAGCCTCATCGCCAAGAAAGTCCCCATACACGTTCGCGGGAACCATTCTTGATAATCGCTCTGAATTCAGAGGTTCAAGTATTAGGGTCCTTTGACCGCAATATATAAACGAACCTCGGTGGGTGAGTACTTCGTAGAATGGCTCGTTACGGGGTGACTCAATGTCCTGAATAGTCCAAGGTTAGAACTTTCGGTGGAGCACAGTGAAAATAGAGAATAAAGCAACAATATTAATGATCATTACCGTCCACACGAATTTGGCCACATTCCCGGCTAATTCGCTATTATAAACTGCACAAATAAAACACCCTCAGATACGATTCCAAGGTATCGTTAAGGAATGATGGGTGAAGACGACTCATACCTCTATCCCAACGGCATATCACTCCGAGACTGTGAAATTTTTTGAAATTTACAACGTCGCCAATATAAAATTTAGGATCTTTTTTCCCAAACTGTCCTCGTAAAGATTGACCCGATTCAAAATCCCAATCGGCGCAATCGTCTTCTTCCAGCCCTTCTATATCCTCGTTCACGTCTTCAGCCAACCTCTGCCACATATCTTGTTCCAATGGAGTGCCCCCAGCTATATAATTACTAATGTCGGCCAACGCCATTCGTCCAAGTTCGTAATCTTCCGGATATCTATACCTTGCAGCAACAAACGACCACCAAAAATTCATGAGTTTACACAAATCTCCAAGTGTGCAATCTAAATATTCTGGAGATCTGACGAAATGAAGTTGAAGAGCTGTACCATATATGATATCACGATTATACCCACGAATTGAAGTGAGAGCTATCCAATAATCTTGCAAGAACAATCTGAACAATTTTTGCTGGGGAATAAATTTGTACTCGGGTGTATAAGCCCCATAAAATTTTGAACTATGCCTATCAAATTGTTCCACGGTGAGCACACCGGTTTCCGAATGTTTTTTAAAATCAATATGGTAAATGTCAACTCCCAACTCTTCCTCATCCGAATTGATATCACTTTTTGAATCATGATCCATTAAATTTGCCGATGAGTTTTCCTCGTCTCTGAAGCGAACAAAGTGGTACCTCCTAAACGTCAACTTTTCACGATCGGAAACTATATCCACATTCTCAATTCCAACTTTCGCCGTCAAGGCTTCAAATAATATAGTCATCACACATGCCTTACTCTGCTTGGTTTCCAGGAGGGGAGCAACCAAATACAAGAATTTTGTTTCAATCTCAAGGACTGATGCAGTAGAAGGATATTTCACGCTGAAGAACTCTGCAAGGCGGCGGAACTTGGTCAATTGGGAATCTGGTGGATCGTTCATGCACCAAGTGTTAAACTCCATCGCCAATTCATCAATTTCGCGCAAAATCTCCTCGACGTCGATTCTTTCATTAAAAAAGGTGGCCATCATCGCGAATCCTTCAAGGTTGGAAAGCTCCAATTCGTAATTACGCCACGCTTTCCATTTTTGAATGATTTCACTTCTACGAATGAATTGAAGAGCACGCTTAGCGAAGTAACAATGAGTGAGTGTCGTCTGATAGAATGAATTTACGTGAAGTCAATGGAAAAAAAAAGAAGTTATTGATTAAAACCAAGAAAATTAATCGACGTGAACAATCAATCATAAGGGAAATCCGCATCAAAGCTTACTTCGTTAGGATTATCCATAACCCATAGTAAAACATCTCGACAGTTGTCACCCAACTGCCTCAATTTCTTCATATTAGCCAGGTAAAAAGGACCACTGGCAGCCAATTCATCTAATATCGCGAACGCCCAACGATCGGTTGTAATTCGTGCCAGATAGATTTGTCTCCACCCATCGGTCTTTTTGGGTTTCGATTTCCAATATTTCCACCTATTTGAATTCACGACGTGGAAGTAGAGATAACGAAGGATTTATATAGAAAACCAACAACAATGCATTTGCACTAATAAAAAACAGGAAAAAGAAGAAAGCAGAAGGAAAGAAAGAAGGAAAAAGCAAGAAAGGAACGAACCTCTGGTCACAAAACCTTCTCCACAGAGAATCGGAATAGGAGGCGTCCCTCCACGACCTTGACACCTGAGCACAACGAGCGACGTCTTCTGGTTCCAAATGTATTAAAATATGCTTAAGAAATGGAGTCAAGATTTGGGTTCGTGCCATAATCGTTGTTTTCGTTCACTGATGAAAAAAGTTTGCAAATGATCATCTTATATACATATGAAATTTGAATGTGTGACAGCTATTGGGGCAAAGTAATGTGGTGACTACGTATGTGGTGATACTGCTCGTCAAATCATAAAAAACCATAACATTTTTCATGCATAACTTTACTTGCATTACAATCGCATAATAACCTCTTATTGTAATCCGGATCAGGTCAAGCAATTTTGGCGGGGATTTTTCAAAAGATCGCCAGTGAGGCTTGGCTCCTAATTACGTGTATACGATGATGAATCACTCGTCTTTGCACTGAGCATAGAGGTGTGCCAACTATCGTCTCACCCATTCCCATCGTAACGTAGCGCATCCCAGAGTCACAATGTTAAACACAAAATATACAACATTCATATGGGGAATTTTAGAGAAATGTTGTGACCTAGCACACCTGACCTGAGTGCATGAGGGGGGATTGTTTGGGGCTTTTTGTGTAAGTCTCGTGACAAGAACAAACCTGCCTTCTTCATGAATTTATCATTATGATAGGAATTTTAAAATATATGCGCGGCCAGTTAAAATTAGATTAGCTATGGGATTTATGCGGATGTAAATTGCTGTATTGGAAAATGATTGACAAAAAAAATTGCCATTGATAAATATCAGATAGGAGAAAATATCGCTTATCTCTGTTTTCACGCTCATTTAGTCATTTAAAATCCTTTTTTTTTTTTTCCAACCCATCTGTTCTTAAAAACTCTTTTCCCTCTTCTCTGTGCGTTGAATGTTTAATGATCTTTTTTCCCGGCCACAATCCCTCTTTACGTATTTAAATAATATTTTTTTCTAACGTGCACACCAAGATTTGCGCCCTCCTGTCTTTATTAAACGTGCAGAAGCAAAGTGCGATAAGTAATAACGATTTTAATATAGTAGCTTGCAATGTTCGAAGCCTGTATACCGATAACGCGCGATGGTGTGCACTACGTACGGTGGATACATACATTGTTTGGAGCCTGCAGATACGGAAGTAGAGATGCGATAAGTTTTCTATTAGGTAGAAAGAGGTCAATTTCTTGCAGAAAAATAAAATGAAATTTCGTGGTCTAATTAATCGTATTGTGTCGAATTTATATGAATTCAAGGATATGCATCAATAGCATGTTGGCTAAATGCACAACTTCCGTAGGTTTTTAACGTAATTTTTTTTTTCGACGTCTGTTTTTCGTCGTATGCTAAAGTATCCGTAATTCCTTTAGGCAGGTCATAACGAACTATCGTAATAAGTCGGCGGACGGACTAAGTTTTCCCTTTTTGTGCAATTGGTTATTGGGAGACATAACGAATCTGATTGGCTGTTTGCTCACAAAACAATTACCATTCCAGGTATCCCACGTGAATGATGGAGTTAAAATTAGCCAATCCGTGTTTCAATAAAATGACGCATTTTTTTTTTTTTTAAAAAAAATCTTTCCTAAAATAGACGTATCTTGCCGTGTACTTTTGTATTGTTGACCTTGGACTATTTTTCCAATATTTTTATTACACGTGGTACCGAGCCAAACCGAAAACTAATGATGAACAATTCGAAATACCGATCAAAAGGAATTATCACACTTTTCCGACCCCAGCAAGGAAATATAAACGAATGTAATGTTACATTTCATTAACATCTCGATCGTTGATCACGTATCATAGAATTTAGTTAAAAGATTCGTGAACCACTTTTGTAGTTCTTCGATGGTTTTTGCCGTTCTCCTTTTTACTTTTCATTCCACTTCAACGATATCATCCTCTCTTTCCACTTCTCCTTCGGGTCATCTTTATTCGAAATCGCTATCAACAGATAATGACGAATCCACATCTAATGCGTCTTTTATAGGAAGAATAATGGCATGGACATGTACAGTTTTATATTTGACCAGTAGAATGCCACAGATTTGGAAGAATGTATGTGAATCCGTGAATATAAGCGCAATCTTTTGTTGTGTCATGGCGCTTCTTAACCTTTTATATTCGACTTTTTGTAAAGTATGTTAGAAGATCGGTCGAAGGACTTTCGATTTTTATGTTCATTTTTGCGGCTCTTGGTAATCTCACATACACGATATCAATATTCACCAATCCGATAGCGAGCTCAGATCCCAAGTATCTTCATGAGGCGGTTCCTTACATATTGGGTTCAGTTGGAACGTTGGCATTTGATGTTACCATATTCTTACAATGGTGCGCCTGGCGAGACCCTGGGCGTCGTCGAAGGTTAACCGGTGATTTTGATTATCAAAAGTTATCAGACGGTAATAGATACAGGGACTTTAGGGCGTATAATGAAAGAAGTGGATATGTAACCACAAATTACTAGGGTGTGTGCTTGAGAAGTTTAACTTTTTGATATGACTTTTAATGATCTTAAGCGCACAGTGGCCAAGATCAATTCGCGGAGGAGAGGTCAACTCTTTTTTTTTTCTTTTTAATCATAATACACGCACTTGCACTTCATATCTACGATTTCACCTATGATCCGCATCACTAATCAAGAGACAATCCGTTATCATCATAAACTTGACCTTTAATTAACCCCAATTTTCTAAGATACATATATTTATTAATTGGAAATTCGGCAGTATAACTTGTGGGTTTGGTTTGTCTTTGAGTTTTGCTAAGATCGAATTCTATTTTTGAGAGAACATCATATATCCCATTGGGCGTTGAATAAAGTTAGTCGTGAGAAGCAAAACTAGAAGAAGAGCATGAGAAAGTTAGTAATATGTAACTGCCTTCCAAAAAAGTTTCGTATACGTAATTTACAAAAATTTATTATCGCCACACATTATTTATTTTTTTAAAAAAAAAACATTTCCCGTGCACGAAAGTGCATACGTATTTGATATGAGTATATTAATTAAAAAAATCTGACGTTTTACACACACCTTTTTTTTTTTTTTTTTTACTCAAGTGAGGCGTTTACCCAACCTCGAATACCTTCCTTTTTAAGGATAAAGACTCTACCATTATTGGATATGAGAATAAGTCCTCTGCATATATACATTACATTACGTAAGTCAGACATCGATTGTACCTCGAGGGGTAAGGCCATGGGACCAAAAGTATTGTAAGTCCAATACTGCATAAAAAATCATTAAGAAATTGCAACGTTTTGAGGAACGTATAAATGTTCGATGTTCGAAAACTTTGGTCTAAATTTGACCAATCCTTGTTTTTTTCTCACGCGAGGCAACGAAGGTTTCTGATCATCGAAAAAGAAAACGTGTTTCGCCAATTTCTGCGTTAAACTTTTCTTCTCGATGATAAATTTGTCCTCATTATCGTTGAATAGGCCTTATGGTTAGGAGACTGTGAAATTGATCCAAACTATTTCGGGAATTGTGAATATTCGATTAGAATTATTCTTTGAAACCTCTCTGAATTTAAATAGAATGATGGTGTTAGCATTTACTGTATATTCTGTAATACATTATTAAACGGTATATTTGATTTTTTGATTTTACGTAAATAATTATAAGTTTTTAAATATTTGATTGATTTATAAACTTTTTTATTTAGTTGTAATATAATAAGTTAAATTACAACTTATTTACAATAATATACTGTAATAATACAAATGAAATTATATTAATTAAAAGAAAAATATAATTATACCATTAATAGGTAATATAATATAAACAAGTTTATTAAAAAAATGTAATAACTGGAATATGATAATTCAAACTATATTTCTTCAAGATATTTAAAAATGATTTATTTCTTTAAAACATTTAAATTATATAACATACGATATATAATATGAACACTTATTAATCTTAAAAATAATTTAATATTATATTATTAATTATATTTATTTCTTTGATTTATTTTTTATTAGAAATTATCAAGATTATATATTGTATTATATTTTTTGATTTTTTGATTTATATTTAAAAAATATAACAAAATCTTGAAGTCAATTAATAAAAATCAATAAAATTTGATTTAAAAGTTTATTATAATAAATTGAATAAATTCTAAATTCTAAAATTTATTATAATTAGTGTTTTATTATAACTTTATTAAAAATAAATTATTATATTTAAATTTGATTATATTTATAAAAAATATTTTTTTTTAAAAAAATATAATATTTAATATTAAGAAATATTATAAACAAAATATTATTTATTATTAATAAAAAAATTAAATAACTTTATTATTATATATATATATATATTGTCTTTAATTAGATTGCAATTGCTGTGTTTATTAATTATTGATTTTTATACAAATAAAACAATAGTACATTAAATCATGGGATTTTATACTAGAGCTAAACTGTGTCTTATTGCAGAATGCCCGTCGACCAGTTATTTTTAAATTTGTATATAATTCTTGAATCCTTAATATCAAGACCACCATGTTGTCCATATAATTTAACTATTTACTAACTATTTCACTATAAGGAAATTGGTTCATTAAGCTATTATTATATAATATTAACTATTTTAGACTTTCTGAATCTTAATTCTTTAAGTATGATCATAAGAAATGATAAAATCGCTTCTTTTTTAAAATCACTTCTTGGCCTTAAGAAAAATTATTGCTAGCCTATATTTAGACTGTCACTTTAACATGAACCTGTGGTTCTAAGAGATAAAAAAAATTTTATTTTTAAAAAAAAAAAAGAAAATAAAAAAGATAAATAAAAAGTTTGTTCTGATAAATAAAAATCCTCCAATATCAACTTCGATTTATCATAATAAATCCTTTACCACTACCTGCAACCAAGCAAACTATTTAATTTCCACTATTCTCTTGCTGACCAAGAACATTCAAAGTACTTATTACAAGACTTACATGCTACTTGAAACAAGTCTTACACCTATTGAGAATTATTATTTGAGACAAAACTTATATTAATACTTGCTACCTTCTCAAAATAATTAATAAAAGAAGAAGCTTCTTATTAGATTGGGATGAGGCTTCTTTTGATCTTGAAGAAAAAAAAAACCAGTCCAAAAAGAGAGGGAGGAATATCATAACACTTCTTAACAAAAAAGAGACCTTGTTGCCTTGCTTTTTTCACTATGTCCAATTGCATCATTGGATTTTATGTTATACAAGATAGGGCATGTAGGAGTTATGTGTCTTGTTTACATTTCTTGTTACGTGTAGATCAACTAGTTCTAAATTTGAGCAAATCATCATTCAAGAATTCCGGTATAACCAGAAATTCAAGGTCAAACTAAGGTAGGCAAAATTTTCCAGAAAAATCAAGAAAAAGTTTACACGTTTGAAAAGATAGGAGGAAACTTAAGAAAGATGAGAGAAGAGTTCCAAAAACTATGCAAGTCTTTTCTAAAGTCTTGAATCTCTGGAGAAAGAGAGAAGGTTGTTTTTTCTACAGATTGTTTTTTCTAACAAAGTTTTTTTGTCTTTAACTTTATAGGTAGATATTTCTTATATTTACTTGCAAAAATACAAGAAGTTTATATTAAAGAAAGAAAGAAATAAGTAAGGAAGACTGGAGTTTTTTGATATAAGTGTTGTTAATGAAAATATATAGACTTTATTACAAAGAAATATAAAAATTTCCTTGGAATGTCTGTTTTTTGTGTTGGCAAAGGGATTAGTGGAAAGAGTTTTTTTTAATTAATCAAATTTATATATTATTTTATATATTTTTTTTATTTTAGATAATATAATATATATATAATTTTATTAAGTCTAAATTTATAATTATTTGTATTAATTGTTTTGTTTTATCTAAAATAAAATTGATAATAATTTATTAATTCATTAAATAAATTATATAATTAAAAAATTTAAATTATAAGTTTTTTTTTATATACAGTGGCCTACCAATAAATTGTGGACACTTTTGAAATCTCAATTACTCAAAATCAGATAAGTAAATGTAATACCAAATTTTTATCACATGTTTTGCAAATA